GGTGAGCGGGGGGGGGGCGGACGCGCACCAGGGCGTTCCCGGGATGGGGTTGGTGGCCACCGGACGAGCTTTCTGGGCCGCCTTCTCTTCCTCGCTCATTTCTTCCTCTTTGCGCTCCTTTGGGGCAAACACACAAAGGATTCCTTTCACTCCACTTGCCGACTGCCTTTCGGAAAGCGACTCGAGCCGTGACATCTGACTAACTGAATGCGTGAAGATTGGACTTTTGTGGGGTGAAGAAAAAAAAACAACAAACAAACAGACAATCTCAAAGACTTTTCGAATGGGGGGGGGGGGGGGGGGGAGATTCAGCAAGCACCTGCTTGTCGTTCATGCTGAGAATTTTGGCCTCCTCCTCCTCCATCTCCATGGCCTCGGCCTCCTCCTGCGCCAGCCGCTCCTTGGCCCTCTGCGCTTCTTTTTCTGCACAGCCAAAGCATTTTAGTCCCACTCCGGACGACTTGAGCGCGTTTGCTGAACATTTGCATGCAACGAGCGAAGACAGAAATACGCTTTCTCCGGTGGACTGTCACAACACCAAATTCAGGACCTTTTCTTTTTTCTTTTTCTCAAAAACAACTCGCTGGCCCCTGCTACGTTCCGTTCACAAAGAAGCATCCGCCCGGGCCCGAGTAGCGAATAGGTTCGCAACTCATGATTCGTCTCTGCGTCATTTTTCCGCCAATGGAGGAATGGTTGGAAAAGAAATCATTTCTCCATGCGCTTCCCTTTCTTCCAAAATGGGACCTGCAGGTTCGGTCGCGCCGTCTGTCAGAAAACGGGCCAAACCAAAGGCGCCGCATTGGCCAAAGTGGCTTATTTTCAGCTTTCGCGAGGGGCAAAACAGAAACGGGAGGCGATTTGCAGCCAACTTTTGGCTCGCTCGCTCGGGCCTCTCCGAGTCGGACCTTCTTGTTGTGGCCGGCGGAAAGTGCTCGAAACCCCCCCCCCAAAAAAGCCTCCCTCTCCTTGTAACAACATCCAAATAAGGGGCGACGAGACGGGACGCGGCGCGAGCACTTTGGCGCGAGTTGCCACCTCTGTCCAGCACGGCCTGCGGCTTCTCCCAGGTGGACTCCAGCGTGCGGTTGTTGTAGTAGTACGTCTTGCCGTCCACCGTCCTGTACTCAGACCACTCGGGCAGCTGCAGCGCGGCGGCGGGCGCCGCCGACAGCGCCAACTGGGGGTGCATCATGGACACCAGGGGGGGCCCCATGCCGGGCAGCATTCCTGAGGGGCGAGAACGGCGGCACAGCGTTGGCGACGCTCTCGTGGAGGCGGGCGACCGACGGCTCGACGCGCGCGCTTACAAAGGGCGTTCTACCGCCGGTCTTGTCTCACGCCACGCGACCGCTAACGGAGTGGACAGAGAGCCCCAGAAAATAGGACAAGCACACAAACACAAGGGGGGGGCGACACACGCGCTTCAAAAACGGACATGAAGATGAGTCACACCCTAACACACACACA